TCCTGCTTTGAACAGGGGGTTGGACTAGATGACCTCTTGAGGTCCCTTCCAACTCTGATATTCTATGATTCTATGATTCTATGATTAAGTTGCAATGCAAAAGAAAACAATCCTGGCATTCTTTTACCTATTTTAAAATGCTAAACCTACCACAAAATGGCGACCCTCAGAGGTCTGTTACTGCCTTGAAGTCAATTCAGACGCAAAGCAATTCTGACTGATGCATTTCTACTAATGGCGCGTTAGGCCGTTCCTTTCTGCTATTCAAAAAGGGTGGCTGGCAGGATATGGTTAAATCATACATCATTACATGCTACGTTATTCTCTCATTATTCTGGATGTCTGTTGTACGCCTGCAGCTTTCTTGGCTCCCCCTCATGGGTGGACGTTGCTTGAGTGTGTGTGACGGCCAACACACCGGGGATTGAACCGGAGTCCTCCAGAACTGAAAGCATGAGCTGCTACCGCTTGAGCGAAAGACTCCAGGCTCTGTAGCTAGGGACTGTGACAACTCCTAGCCTCTGAGGAGCAGCACAGAGGGGGGAACCTGTTGCCATAGGTGGCTGGTGAAAATATTGGGAGGAGGAGGGGGAGCCCGCCCCACTCTCACTCTCACCAACGCTGGGCCCGGCTCCCCGCTCTGACCCATTGGCTCTCAGTGCTGGGGTGGGCTCTGAATTTGTGAGCATCACATGAGACGTGTGTTTGCACGCAGGTGGGGTTCTCCCCCCCCCATGACATCCCTCCCCTTTCCTGGCCCAGGCGCCGTTGGATGCAGGGTCTCAGGATTCCCCCTGCCTTTGGGACTCCCCTTCTCCCCCACAATCACCTCAGGATCTCCTCTTTCCCATTCCCATGGAGCACTGCTAGGAGACCCTGCTGGGACTGAGGAATCTAGCTTCACTTGCTGGGAATCATCTAGTGCATAGGCAGGACCCTCCCCCTGCGACCCCCTGGCATGGCTGGACAGAGATTTGGGGGGGGGGGGCGGCTAAGCCTCCTCTAACCCTAGCCAGTGCCTGTAGCACACACAGCATGTTACATACGCACTCTCCTGTGTATATCTCTGCCCATTCCAAGCAACATCTGAAACTACCAACAATACAATGTTAGCTCTTAGCACGTCCGCTCCAAACATGACTTAAATAGCTCATCCCCCTTCCTGGTGGGGCCTGTGTGTGTCAAAACACACACTTCTTCTCTCACCCTCCACCCCGCTGCAGGGCAGAATCCAACCACTGAGTGTTTCTGGGGGGTGCTAGCTAGAGCTGGCTGAAAAATGCGAATTATTTTCCCGAGCAATGTATACCGTTCTTTTATTTTCCCCCCGTATTTTGTCAGCATTTCCCACATTTTTATAGAAAAACCAAAATCATGTTTTTAAAATGGCTTTTCCTAAACCCATTTTCAGTGAAAATTCTTGGGTTTTCACTGGGGAAACTGGAAAATTGAATGGGAAATAATTTTTCACCTCAAATTTTAGTGTTAGACGCCAAAAAAAATAAAGCTGCCTTTCATCCAAATGGATATTAGGAAAAACTTTTGACTCCTGAGGCTAGTGAAACTTGAGCCCTGCCACTCGGGGCTGAAGCCTGTGGGCTTCGGCCCCGGACGGTGGGACTTGGGCTTCAGCCCCGGGCCCCAGCAAGTCAAACACTGGCCCTGGCGACCCCATGAAAACCGGGTTGTCTCCCACAGTTTGAGAACCGCTGGACTAGATGACCTCTTAAACCTGACATTTGTGTGATTTTTATGAGATTACGTTTCAATGGAAAAATTTCAGTTAGGCAGAAAAATGCCCATTGTGCAGTTTGTCACGAATTGCCCATTACAGGGTTTCTTGAACTTTCCTCTGGAGTAGCTGGTCTTGGCCTCTCAGACAGGACTTCGTTACTTCTTATCGTGCATCTATTTAATAATTCAAGGCCCAGTCCTGAGGCCTGTACTCAATCTTCAATGAGTTCCTGGATCTGATCCGGTATGGTGATTCCTAGTCAGGGGAAGGATGGAAAGTGGTTAAGGCACTAGTCTACAACTTGGGAGACCAGGGTTTGGTTCTCTGCTCTGCCACAGACTTCTTATGTGACCTTAGGCAAGTCATTTAGCCTCTCTAGGTCTCAGTTCCCCATCTGTAAAATGGGGTCAGTAATACTTCCCTACCCCCCCAGAGATGTTGCAAGGATAAATACATCAAAGATTGTGACGATCTGATCAGAAAGAGCTATAGATGGGTTAGTTATCAACATTGTGTTCAGCACCCTTCCCCTCAGAAGTAGAGAAAGGAGACTGGCTCACATTCCAGTGGCCTCACGATGCCGACGGGACTTGGGGGCGAAGGGGGATCGATGCCAAGTTGGCACCTTACAACACGTCACAGCTTGTTCCTCTTATCCACAGATCCTTGACTTTCCGGGTGGTCGTCGGTGAGTACAACCTGAATCAGAACGATGGCACGGAGCAGTATTTGAACGTGGGAAGCAAGTTCATCCATCCTAATTGGAACAGCAACAATGTCGCTGCTGGGTAAGGCACCTTCTTTTTCACACCAGCCACCTGCATGGCTTGGCTAAGGGATTTCACACCTAAGGTCGCAAAGTCCCAGCTCCTTACATGCAGCTGAAGAAATCAGAAAGCGCTGCTCTTGGAGCATCCTTCCTCTGAGATACTCAGTGACGTACGGCCTGAACTGGCACCCAATATAGACAGTATTCAAAAATCTTCGGTGGAATCAGAAGCCAAATGGATATCTTGGAGCAGGTCCCATCCATAGTGTTCTTCGCTGGTACGATAGATAGGTTCAGACCAGAGTAGGATGGTCCAGGGCCTAAGGAGGTCGAGTTGCACAGGCAGAACAAACAGTGTTTGCAAATGGGGAAAGCAGACTCCAGTTTGGCCAGTGTCTTCATACAGCTCTAACGGGTACCAGGGTAGCACTTGGGCCTCCATACTTTTTCCATACAGACGGTCTTGGGTAACAATAAGGATCCTCCGACAGACTAGCCACTGGGGAGCTGGGCTTCTGATGGTACTGAGTGCTTCTGGGTTGGGCTGGCAGTGAGCACAGGTATTTTGCTACCTGATCAAGCATCTGCTTAATAATACAAGGCCCAGTGCTGGGTCCTCATTCAGTCCTCTGTGCTGTCCTTCGGCGGGAACGTACCTGAGGAAGGGACTCAAGTCAGCCCTTTCTGTGCATTCTTTATGGGACATTAGGGCTCAGTTGTTCAAAAGAGCAAAGAGTTCGGTGCCCAGCTCCAACCGGCTTTCGATCGGGGGTCAGCAACATGTCCGTACACAGACAACAAGTGTCTGTGGTGTAAATTTTGAGGTCCGTGGCGATTTTTGAAAAAAAAAATTGAATGACATAACCCCGCCCTCCAGCGTCATGAAGTACGGTAATTTTGTCAAGTGTCTGTCACGCAACACGGTGGTCCCGCCCCCTGCATTCAATCGATTGGGGTTCCTTTCATAGAATATCAAGGTTGGAAGGGACTTCAAGAGGTCATCTAGACCAACCCCCTGACAGATTTTTACCCCAGTTCCCTAAATGGCCCCCTGAAGGTTGAACTCTCAACCATGGGTTTAGCACGCCAGTGCTCAAACCATTGAAAACCCCTCCTTTAAAAGCCCCAGCCTAGGTTTTACTATCAGCGACAGCGGGGTCACTTAAATGCAACCCATTTGCACCCATTTCTGAAAGGCCTGTGAAAGGCCATTTGACGCGGTTTCCTTTGTTCCTCTGCAGCTACGACATCGCTCTGCTCCGCCTCTCCCAGAGCGCGTCTCTGAACACCTATGTGCAGCTGGGCGCTCTGCCCCCTTCAGGGCAGATTCTGCCAAACAACAATCCTTGCTACATCAGTGGCTGGGGCTTGACCAGGAGTAAGTGCCATAATTCAGTAACATTCCAGACGGGGCATAGGATGGCCTAGTGATTGAGGGCACAGGCTTGCAGGTGGGTGGGGCTTGGATGTGACTAGCATCCCCGCTTTGCCCCCAAACTTACTGAGAGTTTGAACAAGCCCCGGACCGTTCCGTGCCTCAGTTTCCCCCTGTATAAAACAGTGGTGACCACTCAAAGTTGTTGCGACCCATGGCTTTGTTAATGGTTTGCAAAGCCCTTTAAGCCCCTCTCATTGAATGTGCTATAGAAGGGCCAAAGTATCACTTGTTACACAAGACCTATGTGAGATTTTGGCCCTATTGGGAGTTTTGCCATTCTACCAGGATTCCACCCCGGTCTGTAGTTTGGTGCATAAGATCTAAACCCTGTTTGCTCCCGCTCCAGAGGGAGCTTGGCCTCACTTCATTCCTCCTCGATGGTTTTGCGAAACAACCTGACATGCAGGACAATGCTGTTCCCGGCTTCACCAGCTAAGTCAGGACACGCTATGGAGGAGTGTCAGAGCTGCAGTCAGCTGCCCTTTGGAGATCTGCTCACTGATTCACACGAGGCCTGAGAACACCCCAAGGAAATGGGTTATCCTGCACCGGGGCGGATTAATGATTTTGCCGACCCCAGGCCCTGAAATAATTGCCACCTCCGGCCCCATATGAACTTATTAAACCTCAATATTTTCAATATCAACACCAATATTTTCACTTTTTACTTTCAACTATTTTTTCTGTCTCACTGTCAGCACTAACTGATGCAACAAAGGAATCTATTTTGCGCATTTTTGCTATCATTTCATTTTCCCTTTCTTTCTTTTGTATAGCATTTTTCTTTAACTGAGAACCGCTTAATTTCTTCCTTCCGGTCATATTAACGTTTAGCATTCTCACGAGTATGTTTACTAAATGGCGTCGCGCCATCATTGGTGGTTTCAATACGTGCTATGATTGGTAGACTCGCGGCGTCACTGATGCCGCGATGACAAAAATGCTGCTATTATAAATTTGCCGCCCCTGCAAATTTGCTGCCCTAGGCCTCGGCGATAATACGCCGCTGTCCTGCACTCTCACTTTGCTGTGGTATCGCCTTTAGAAGCTCCTGCTTTGCCAGAAAATGCACTAGACTAAAGCAAATTTAAGAACTGTTGGGCCTCGTTCTGATCTTAACACTGGGTGTCACTCTAAAGTTGCATGTAATTTACGCTAATAAAAGAGCTCAGAATCAGGCCCAGTCAATGACTTATAATTTGAGACGTGTCCGTGACTCCAATCCCTTGCTTTCGAGCTCATTGACAACAAATTCCCAGCCAAGTTTTATGGCCATAACTCCGTAACAGGGGAGAGATTAGCACAGCCAAGCTCAGATATTGGATAAGAAGTTGGCCAACGTGTAAGAAAATATAAAGGGATTCTAGATACCAAAGTTGGTTGTGTTTGATCCTGCAGCCCAGAACTTCACCCCAGGTGTCTGGGGGTGGGGGGGAAAGGGGCCATCTTCCTTGTAACTAACCCCGGGTCTCCGATTTGTTTTGCGTAGCTAATGGGCAGCTGGCTCAAATCCTGCAGCAAGCTTCGCTTCCCGTCGTCTCTTACAGTATCTGCTCCGGTTACGCTTACTGGGGCTCCACGGTTAAGAACACCATGGTGTGTGCCGGAGGGGACGGTGTGCGCTCTGGTTGCCAGGTAACTGACGAGCGATTGAACCAAGCAAGAGCGTTCCCAGGGTCTTAGCCGCTCTTGTCACCCCCTTGGAGGGAGGTGCTATATATAACGGTTACACTTGGGTATTGTTTCTAATTGGGGTCCAGTGGCACTGGACTGGGAGTCAGGAGACCTGGGTTTTGTTCCTGGCTCTGCTACTTACCTGCCGTGTGATCTCGGTCTGGTCATTTCCCCTCTCTGTGTCACCCATCAGTCAATTCCTTGCCAAAGCACTTTCAGATGAATAGCCCTGTAGAAGGGCGCTCCGCCTCCTGGGAGGGAGGTGCTGTGTAGGGGTTAAGCTTGGGTATTGTATGTTACTTGGGTTGGTGGGTCGAAGCTGGAGATCATACTCCCTCAATGTTCACTTGGCTCTGTCCCCTTTCCAGGTGGTTAGGGCTGGGGGGGAAATGACTATCCAAGTGACCCCTCGCTTTTCCATTCTCTTCTCCTGTGCTGACTTCCAGCTCAGCATTCTGTCTTTGAAAGTCAGGCTGCTGTTGGATTGGGCACAGAGGGAGACCCTGCACTCACCAGGGCGTTATATAAGTGCTGATAAGAAATGAATTCAACAGACATTGCCCTATATATTGTGGGAAGAGGAGTTGTATGGACCAGTGGATGGCCCAGGAAGAGTTGCCGTAAGAACAGCCCCAGTGGGTCAGACCAAGGGTCCATCTAGCCCAGTATCCTGTCTTCTAATGGTGGCCAATGCCACATGCTTCAGAAGGAATGAACAGAACAGGCAATTGAGTGATCCATCCCTTGTCATCCACTCCCAGTTTCTGGCAGTCAGAGGTTTAGGGACACCCAGAGCAATGGGGTTGCATCCCCGACCATCTTGGCTAATAGTCATTAATGGATCTATCCTCCATGAACTTAACTAGTTCTCTTATGAACCCAGTTATAGTTTTGGCCTTCCCGACATCCCCTGGCAATGAGTTCCACAGGTCAGGATGCCTGTATTTTAATGCTGGCAATTCTGTCCCGTCACCTCACTCAGGTAGTCCTACTTCACCGGGGAAGGGGAGACGTGGAGCCTTGAAAGCACTTTGAGGTTGTCTGTTGGAAAGTGCTAAGAAGGGCAAAGCATTGCTGTTCGTTGCAATATGTGCCAAGTTTTGTTGCCCTTTGGCTTTGCTCTGCAGGGCGATTCTGGGGGCCCTCTGCACTGCCTGGTGAGTGGCAAGTACTACGTCCATGGAGTGACCAGTTTTGTTTCCGCCTCGGGCTGTAATGTCTACCAGAAGCCCACAGTGTTCACCCGGGTGTCTGCCTACATTTCCTGGATCAATAACGTAAGTTGGCTTTGCACAGAAGGGAAACTGCACGGAGGAAACACCCCGCTGCAGACAAAGACGTCTTGCTTGCAGTTGTTTTGTTCTAATTATGTCAGCTGTTCGGAGCCAGCTGCAGGACACACGTCTCTGCAGTCATGCCAAAGAGTGTGGCTAGAAACCCTCCCCACGCATGGTGGCTGCAGCATGGGAGGGGGCAGATAGAGGACATTAACCATGTGTTTTTTTCCCCAAACCAGCCAAGAGCTACTTCTCCTAAGGGCATTGCCTCAGGGGATCTGTCAGATTGATTACCATTCAGCATTCTTCCACTCGAGATTCAGTTTGCAGTATTCTCATCCCTACTGAATTGCTATAATTTATGTTCAGGTGTTTCCATCTGGGTGTTGGTTACCAGATCTGATCATTACCCGCCATGAGAGTATAATCTCACTTTGATGCGAAGGGATCCTAACCATGTCTTCTGTCAACTCTCCCCCATGTGATGTTCTCCCCTGCTAGCATTGATGGAAAACAGCAATGAAGGGTCAAAGTTAAGAATCGGCGGTCTAGACATATTTACGCAGGAAGATCATATCTGAGGCTGGAGGATTCTTTAATCTAGCAGACAAAGGCATAACGAAATCCAGTGGCTGGAATATGAAGCTAGACAAATTTTAACAGGGAGGGGAACTCGCATTAGAACAGCTCATCAAGGGAAGTGGTGAATTCTCCATTGCATGAAGTGTTTTAGATCAAAAATTGAATGTCTTGGTGTAAAAGAGATGCTGTTTCAACTACAGTTTGAACTAGGATGCAAGAATCACTGAATGAGGTTCTTTCTGGCCTGGGTTATGCAGGAGGGTCCGACAAGAATGTGGTTCTCAACCTATTTACCATTGTGGGCCACATCCGAAACTACCCGTATAGCCCTGTGGATGTCACCTGGACTGCAGCGCTGTGCTGACTGGGCCGCAGATTGAGAACCACTGGCATGCGGTGATCACAGTGGTCCCTTCTGACCTTAAAATCTATGAATCTGAGGTCGTGCCATGCCAAAGTAATACCAAGGCCAGAAAGGACCATTGTGTTCATCTAGTCCAACCTCCTGGATAACACAGGCCATAGAACCTCCCCAGAATAATTCCTAGGGCAGATCTATTAGAAAAACATCCAGTCTTGATTTAAAAATGGTCTGTGATGGAGAATCCACCAAGAGCCTTGATAAATTGTTCCAATAGCTAATTACCCTCCCTGTCAGAAATTTGCACCTTATTTCCAGTCTGAATTTGTCTCGTTTCAACTTCCAGCCATGGGATCCACTTCCAACCGTTGGAGTTGGGAGTTTCGCTTCTCTGAACCCTCTCTGATTTCTGGTTTGGATCGTCTCCATCAGAAGTATCACACAGGCTTTATGAGATCAATGGTATAGTTATGGAATTAAACAGATGATAGTTAAAGGATTACCAAAAAAGACCATCTATAGTAGGGGAAGCTGAACAGGAAGCATTTGCAAGGGAGAAAAGAACTTGGGTGAGATGAAGGCACATTTTTAACAGTGGGGGTGATAAATCATTGGACAAATTGCCAAGAGAAGTGGTGGATGCTCCATCTCTTGATGTCTTCAGATCAAGACTGGATGCCTTTCTGGTAAATGTGCTTTAGCCAAACACAAGTCGGGCTCAGTGCCAGGGTAACGGTGAGATTCTAAAACCTGTGTTACGCAGGAGGTCAGACCAAATGACCACCTGGTCTTTCTGGCCTTGAAGTCTATCCGAAGAGATGGAAAGTTGCAGAGGCAGTGAGGTTAATGGCAGCTGTTCCAGCCAGTCTGTGCCAATTCCCAATTCTGCACACAAGTATTTATGTGCTGCAATCTTTTATCAGGAATTGAAGTTTTTAGAGTTGGCCACCTGGAGCTTTCCCAGCTTAGAGGTTTAATAATGCATCAGCTTCATTCATGCTTCCATGCCTTCGATTGATGCCACTCTGTTGAAAACTCTTGAGAAACTGTCTAATGTGGTGGTGGATTATTTTTTTCCTCCTTTCAGATAATTAACTCCAACTGAACAGGCTGAGAGGATGGAATCAACGTCAAAGAAGAACCTCTTTCCCTAATCGGAATACATTCACACGCTGGCCGTCTTCATCTTCTCTACTGCCCATCTTCTCTATTATCCCATTTGATCTGCAGGGTTATACCTGTAACTCTAATGCCAATAAAACTGTTAAAATTACTCTCTTCTCTGTTCAATAGTGACAAAACCACATACAAAATCCTTTTCTTCTCCAGTCTGAGCAGATCTGAGATGACAGAATCAGGACCCTTTTACACAATTTCATGTCTTTTGACAAGCTGGAATTCCTCAGGGAACAAAAGATAATTAGGATGACTTTGAAGGACGTCCATCACCGGGTACTTAGCTATACAAATTAACATAAGGCCATTTGTTTGTTCCTCCACCATTCACAGTACATTTCAAAGAGAGATGAATACTGAGATGTCCCGTGCTTACCATTCATTTACATGATAGGATGTTCTTTTGACCTCTGAATTATCAGAATACAAATAGGGACCGTTGATTACATTGTCCACCCTACTCAGACATATGTAAATACACAAAAACACAAATGTTATCTCCCCACATGTCTTCTGTGAGTTACTTATTTTGGAGAAAGTTTAACCCTTTCTAGCCAAGCATCATACCCCCAACATGAGACTGGTGTGGAAGGGTGAAATTAGAGCTCCTAGATACACTTTAAGGATCTTCCAACATTGATATGAGCTGTGTTTACATTAACAACAAGGAGTCCGGTGGCACCTTAAAGTCTAACAGATTTATTTGGGCATAAACTTTCGTGGGTAAAAAAACTTCACTTCTTCAGATGCATGGAGTGAAAGTTACAGATGCAGGGCTACCCCCTGATACTTTTAAAGAGCACTTACTTTGGCATTCAGCCATGAAGGCTGTGAGGTGTTGTACCTCAGTTTCCCTTTGTGCACAGCAGTCCAAGCTTGTAGTGGTTTTTCTGCTATGTACAGTTCCAAGATTAGATACAGGCACTAACTGAGAAATATCAGTATCACCAGGCCTTTTAACATAGTGTGTGTTGTCATGTAATGAAACAATATAACCATGAAGGCTTTTACACCATAATGAGTTCTTATGTATCACCCGCAACATGTTGAAGGGTTTTCCCAAAAAACCCTGCACGCTGTACATTTTTGCAAGTTCTTGGTATCAGCAACAAGTTGGTTACAATCATTAGCAATAACGTCAGTTTTATCACAAGTGTGCATTTACAATTATTTTTGTCACACCAAGTCTTTGGTTTAGACAAACCGTTCTTTAGGTCAGCTTGTTCAATATCCCTTTTGAATCTTTGTAGCTTTTTCTTGACCTCAGGGTCTTCCTTAACATAGGAAGTGGTTAAAATTGAAAGCCTTGAGGTTTTGGTATTTTAGGGTTAATCCGTGGCTTTTATTTGCAAGGTTTAATCCTTCCCTTCCTGCCTGTCCAGTAGGGTCAAAATCTGAACATTTTTTGCTTAACAGAATTCATTGGCCGGCTGGGTGTGTCCTTTTTGCTAACAGGTCCAGGCAAGTCTGTTTTCCCCCCATTCAGTCAGGTAATTTGCATCAACACAGACACTAGCTGGTTTACTCGTTTTCAGATCCTCACGCGTTACCAATTCGAAGGCTGGACTCCGCCTTAAAGAGATTCCATCCATTTTCAGTAGCATGTTAGACTCTAGGTTCTTTTGTCCTTCCCTTACCAACCTCTGCTTCTACATGGAGTCAGATGCCAAGTCCACTAAGCGACTACAAGTCATATCCAAAATATCTAGAGATGAGTTTTCCTGCTGTCCCCTGCATCCTTGTAACCAGTAACCCAATCTTTCCTCAGTACCTGAGTCACGGACTGCTTACTTAAAGAACCAACATGGAGACATTCATGTTCCAACAATATTGTCTCCCCAACAAGCTGGTTAAGCTTATAGGCCTGTTTAAATTCCCTAGCCATTGTTGTTATTTCATTTGCAATCTTTTCAAAGCTAGCCACCATGGGTCTTTCTAAAGTAAAGTCAGTGGATCTATATAGGCCCTCTCAGAGGTCCAGAGAGGTCCGGGCCACTTCCAACTTTTGAGGGCCCTCGCCATAATGAAAATAAAAAATGACACATGAAAACAAAATAAGGCACCAAAAAAAAGTGTGAGATGTAATTTGAATATTTTTTTTTTATTTAACAAATGCTTTTCTAGCCTTTTTCTATGCAAATGCACTAAATATTGAGGGAAAATCTAGCTCTCCTAGAATATCAGGGTTGGAAGGGACCTCAGGAGGTCATCTAGTCCGACCCCGTGCTCAAAGCAGGGCCAATCCCCAGACAGATTTTTGCCCCAGATCCCTAAATGGCCCCTTCAAGGATTGAACTCACAACCCTGGCTAATAGGTTTAGTAGGCTAATGCTCAAACCACTGAGCTATCTCCCATGTGTGCAATGTCACAGTTGATATTAAGCATGGTGAGCCCGTTCAAACGCTCTTGTCCCATAGTTGAACAGTGATAGTTCTTTACCTGCTTCAACACATTGAAGGTGCATTCACCTGAAGCCACTGATGCAGACAAACTGACAAAAATACACAATGCAATTGTGATATTAGGAAACACCCCAGAGAGTCCAAGTTTGAGTATTCTTGAAGCAATTCCTTTGGCTTGCAATCCAATGTAAAGTTTGTGGAATATATTCGTTTGAGGAAGATGACCTCGTTACTGAGATCTTTTGAGATTTCTTTGTTGTACTGTTGCTGAAATTGTTCAGCTGCAGAAAATAGATCTTCATTACTCAGTCTGTTGAACTGCCAAAGAAACCCAAAAAGGTTACAAATTAGTTGACGTGTAAGACCTGATTGAATAGAGTCGACGACAAGGAAGACATTGACACTATAATGCTGCTCGGCATCGGATTCAGTTGGTAAGTTACGATTGGTGGAGAACTCAGATGAAATGCCAATATTCTGTGCTACTAATTTGGACTCAGTCAGGATCGCATCCCGTTGTTCATGAATCTGTTGAATGTCGTTGATAAGACTTTCAGTGTTATCCCTCTCAACACCAAGTGTAGCATTGCGTGCTTCAATTACCAGATTAGTTTGGTCGATCCTTGTAAGTAGCTTCATCCACAAAGATGACATCAGAATGCATTCAACTTTGGACATGTGCTTCTGAATAGACCGAAGTTCAGTTCGAGCCTGTGCAGTGAGATTGCGATTTTGAAGTCTTTCTCACTGAATTCAAATGCCGCGCAACTGGTTGAACACCATCCATCCGTGCAGACCATCTAGTTTTGGACATCCCGGGCAGTGAAACAGGAAGATATTGCTTCAGAATTTCCCACTTTGTGGATTGCTACTGAAGAGATTGTACATTTGCTGAACAGTTCCAAAGTAAGTAATTGCGTCCTTGCATGATTCAGCACAGTCAACACCTACAAGGTTTAGTGTGAGGTTTCCACAGCTGGAGAAAATACAGTTTGAATTATGCTCAAGCACATCTGCTTGTACGCCTTTGTATTTCCCAGCCACATTGGATCCATTGTCATAGGCTCGACCAATGCAGACTTGAAAATCTAACTTAAAACCTTCTAGAATTGCTAGTACCCGAGCAGCAATTTCTTTCCCAGTTTTTTCTCGTGAGGTTTATTTTGTTTGATCATTTTTCTTCAATTGGAAATTTTGAGCTGTCTACAATCTTAACATATCGAATACCCACAGTAGTCTGTTCCTTGGGAGAACAATCTGGAGTGGCATCAGCAATAATTGAAAAATACTTGGCATTGCAAATCTCAAGAATTGTTGTTTGTACGAATGCCCCACCTAGCTCAGTAAACTCGTTGTGTATGCGTGTGGAGAGAGAATGGACTTGCATGCGCTTTTGACTCTCTTGCGATTCTCAAACACGTTTAACATGCTCTGATAAAAGTGGGTCATATTTGCTGAGGAGCTCAACTATGCCTAGAAAGTTTCCATTTGCACAATCCCCAATACGTTGACTGGAACCGAAGAAAGCCAGTCCCCGCTCAGAAAGAAAAAGGATGCCGTGGGTGCGTTCAAGAAGTTTTTCCCAATTATTAGTTTCTGTAGAGAGGTCAGTCAAGAGTAAATTCTCAACTGAACTTTCAGCTCATGCTGCCCTACTGGCTGATTTCCATGCAACATCGTTTTCTTTTGCGTGACATTGAACTCTCATGGGATGGTGTTCGGTCTTTCAACTTCCTCCAACCTCCGTTGATGTTCCATCCTGATTGATTAGAGAGAACTGATGCATTTGCAGCGCTTTTGTTCAAAATGAAGCAGGGTGGACAGTATAGAGAGTCTTTTTCCATACTCCAGCATAACCAGTCTCTTGTGCAGGTCTCACCATTTGGAAGAGTTTTTGTCAGCAGACGAGTAGGGAAAGCACGATTATCAGCATCTCGTGGAATGTTGCTTGGAATTTCTAAACAACTAATTTGAAGAAAAGCTTGCATTTGGGCAGCATTGCTCTTGTCAATAATTCCGATGTCCGTCACAGTCAAACCTGTAGTACTCATGAATTGCTCTTGCTGCATAAGATCTACATCTTCCTGTTGCTGTTGAGTTTCTTGATGATACACAGGATCTTCTGCTGCATATGTTACTGTTGGCACATCTCCTTCTTGACTACTATCCTCATGTTCAGGTATTGGCATTGAAAAATCACCCGTTGCAGTTGCGGGGTTTTCATTACCTGTAGCATTGTTTGTGGAGTAAGGTGCGTTTTCCAGTGGTTTGAGAAATGAAGTTATTGGCTTTGAACTCATAGCTGCTGCTTCACTCCGTTGTTTTCACCATCTCTTGCTTGCACCACTTTCAAATGGCCTCTTCAGAGTGATCTATCTGGTCAATATGTAGTCTATCCACACTTGAAATATTCTGCTGTAAATACGTAGCTTATCTACACTTGAAATCTTCTACTGTAAACATGTACACAAATGTGGAAAAGACTTAAAACGAAGGAATACTAATTAAGAACATAGAATGAAACAGTCAGACAGGATTATCCTTATCACTCAAGCACACAAGATATAATACAGGCTGAGATGAAGACAGAGGGATGACATATATTTAGTAAACACAGACACGGCTACAGACAGAGGGATAATGTCCAAAAATTTCAAACGTGTCCTCACGAT